ATGTGATAGCCTGATCCAATCACAGTGCTTCCCCATAGAATTGGTTGAGACTGACAAAGAGGCAGATCAGGGGCAGAGCCAGCATGATTCAAACACAATCAGCATCTCCTCATAGAAATGAATTTATTCAATGAATATCTATGTGGAAAGTTCAGTGTCTGCATGCAGAGGGAGAACATACTGAATCACAGGATGCTGTGCACAGTGCTGCCCTGTGCTCTGCTGACAGCAGATCTGAGTGGATGGAGGCATATTATGCCTCCATCAACTCAGAAGTCCCTATGGTTCACTCTGAGTGACTGCAACTGGAGGTGTTCCTTGCTTTCAATGTAAACACTGTATTTTCTCATTAAGCTGAGTTTGTTCAGGTGACTATAGTGTCCCTTTAAAGGATCTTAACATGTATAGCTTGGAGGAAAGATGAAGGGATATGATAGAAACATTTAAATATATAAAGGGAATCAACACAGTAAAGGAGGAGACTATTTTTAAAAGAAATACTACCACAACAAGAGGACATAGCCTTAAATTAGAGGGGCAAAGGTTTAAAAATAATATCAGGAAGTATTACTTTACTGAGAGGGTAGTGGATGCATGGAATAGCCTTCCAGCTGAAGTGGTAGAGGTTAAAATAGTGAAGGAGTCAAGGCATGCATGGGATAGGCATAAGGCTATCCTAGCTATAAGATAATGCCAGGGACTAATGAGAGTATTTAGAAAATTGGGCAGATTAGATGGGCCGAATGGTTCTTATCTGTCCTTACTTTCTATGTTTCTATATGCAATTTTACAATGAGAATTCTGAGTTTCCAAAAAATTATTATTTTACATGTGATTATAAAAATAGGAAGTGAGAAAATGTCTCCCAACTGCATCTGAGGAGGTAGCAGGCACCTTGAAACTCAGTGAGGCAGGTCAAACCCACTACAATGAAAGGCATTTAAAAAAAAAAAGGGGGAACTGCAGCAACAACAGCAGGATAAATGTAATTTAAAAAAAACAATATTCACTGACGCATTTTACAATAATATTACAAATGTAGAAACAAACAAATGTAAAGTGAGTGCCCAATTAGATCTCAGGTAGCAAATGGCGACTTCTCAGATATCAAAGTGAAGAGCATGGTAACCCAAGTCTGGGTAACTGAACTTGAGAGAGGTTATTTTCTCCATCAGTTGCAAGGACATTTGTGAGTATTGGGGATTCAAAATGAATCATGTAAGAAAAACCATTATCTCACTTTGAACAGTGGTCATTGGAAATGTCAATAGCTGCTGGACAACCAGGCACAGAGACCACATACTGTTCTTCTCATCCCAGTAGCTCAAAGTTTAAGAGTTGAAGGCAAAGCTTGATGATTCACTTTTTGCCCCCCTTCCCAAACTTACAACAGCATTAAGCCAAAACAGCACCACGCTGATGTCTTGGGGTTATGCTGCCATCGGTTCCTCAGAGACAATAACAACATGTTAGGTTCAATGTGCACATCTTCCCCTACCAACATGCCTCTTTTTCAATACAAATAACGGACCATGGATATAGGTCTTTCCTTCCGGTATGCCAGATTGTTGGATCGGAGTGCACTTTCCTTTAATCCTAGGATCACACGGGGAAACTAACATCAGTTTTGGCAGTTATTAATTTGTTCATGAAGATGAGCATTGAGTAGACCATTTGTTAACTACATCAGTGTGGAGTGTGCTGCGATGAACAAATTCCCTGTTTTTCGAGAAGGCATTCATTATAAGTGTCATGACTTACCTTTGCTCCCTTGCTGCTCTGGCGGCATCTCCAGGTCGCAGCCACCCATACACACGCGTGAAGGCTGGGGATGTACCGCGACCTACAAACTCTGATCATGTCACGTCTCCAAGGCAACCATTGATGCCAGGAGGTGTGCGTGAGTGTTCCACCCTGCAGTTGTATTACAGCTGAGCCCTAACATGGAACTTGCAGACTTGGCTGAGGCTATGCTAGCTATGAACTACCAGATGGGGCTGCTCAGTCTATTTGTGCAGGATATGCAGCAGAGTCAAGTGCACCTACACACTTAAATGAGAGAGCTACGTGCTACGCCACCTGTTGGTCCCATGTCTGTTACTTCTACAGATGACCCACAGTCCTCTAAACCTGACGAAACCATGCCAAAACGCTTCTCTGGCGTTCATGCTTCGTACCAGGGATTTATGATACTGCAATGCCTATGTTCACTATTAAACCTCACACTTATTGTAACAATTATGTCAAGGTCAGGACTGTTATCTCACTACTAGCTGGTGAACCACGTACTTGGGCTCATTACCTCATACAAATGCAAAGTCCCGTCTTGAATACCTGGGATTTGTTCTCTGCAGAACTTAATGTATTATATGATGACCCCAATCGCCTTGTCAATGCCCAAGCAGCCATCCAGGTTTACAGACAAGGGAAGAAAATAGTTGAAGCATATGCTACAGAGTTCAAGAGCATTGCCATTGAGACCTGCTTGAATGAAATAATGCTAAAAGACCAGTTCTGCATAGGCCTCAATGATGCTCTCAAGGATGAATTCACTAGAGTGGATATCCCTAAGACACTAGAGTAACGCATACAAGCTGCCATTCAACTGGACCAATGTAGACAAGAAAGACCTACCTCCCCATCTTCCTTTGGGAAGCTTCCTGCTATTTCTTCATCCCCTGTGGGAGCACCTGCACTTGTCATAGAAGAGCCCATGAAAATTGGCCTCATAAAGGGACACCTGCACCCGATGACATTCACAAAAGGATAAATAATAAGTTATTGCTGTAAACCCAATCAAGTTGTCCCATAGGTCAGGTCACAACCTGGCCTGAGAAAGGTGCTAACCGCAATGGCAGTCCTGTCATGTTTTGCCTTTTTCCTCCAATATGGCACCTCCTGTTCTGTTGCAGTGGAATGAGAAGAATGTGATGGTAAAAGCCATGATTGATTCTGGAGCCAGTGGCTGTTTTTTGTATATCTATTTTGCCACTGCCATGTGTACTCAATGTTGCAATAAAGAATATCCTGTATGCACTAAAGTTGTGGATGGTAGTGCTTTGAAATCTGGGCTAGTTACCAAAGAAACTGCATCTTATTATTGGTATTGTTGACCATCATACCAAAAAAATGTGGCTTGACTTGGTGTCCTCTCCTCTATTTCCTGTCATACTGGGGTTGCCATTGTTGAGAATGTAGAATCCCCTTATATGCTGGACTAAAGGCGTGGTGTCCGTTCAGTCACACTAGTGTAAAATGAACTGTCTAACTAAAACACCTCCGGTGATACACATAAACACCATCCTAGATGTTAATAAAAAAAAAGAGTTGTTTTATTTATCTTCCTTTTGCCTACAAACAATACTGCAAAGTGTTAAATAAGAAAGGCTTTGATTCATTACCCCTGCACTGATCATATGACTGTCCTATTTAACTGTTCCCTGTGGCACTTACCATTTCAGACGTATATCTATCCACTGGCAGAACCTGAATTAAACATATTGAAGAAATACTTGAAAGAAAACATATTGTGCGATCTACTAGACCAATTCATGGTGGTATATTTGGGCGATTTACTAATCTTTGCTCTTGATCTCGAAACCCATCGTCACTACTTATGTTCAGTTCTTGAGACTTCACTAGCATCATCTATTGGCCAAACTTGAGAATCGCAAATTCAAGACCACCAGAATTGATTTCCTTGGATATCTGCTAACCACTGGGCATTTGGAGATGGATCAAAAGAAGTTGGAAGCAATCATGAATTGGCCTACCCCAATGAAAAAAAAGAAGTACAAATATTTTTGGGGTTTGCTAACTTTTTTAGAAAATGTATCTGCAATTTCTTGCTATTGCATCGCCACCTGACTAAACTTACCCCATTACCACCATAATATAGAATATCTTAGGTCTGCCTGTAGACTCCATCCTAGACAGGCAAGATGGGCTTTATTCTTTTCTCAGTTCCAGTTCCACATCACATACAGAGCGGGTTCTAAAAACGGAAAAGCAGACCCCTTATCCCATATCCCTTGCCCATCAGATGCTCCAGCTGTAATCCATGAAACCATACTCCATTAGGGATATTTCACGGCTACCCAGTCCCTTCTCCTGAATAAAATAAAAAGACTAACTCAAAACACCACTATACCTGTACTTCCTTTACTTCCACAAGCTGGCAGTTCGCTCTACATTCCTGAGGCAATCAGAACCGAAGTTTCTGATTCAATGTCATGATTCTCCAAAGGCAGGTCACGGAGGTCAGAGTCAGACTTATGATCTAGTCCAAGGTTCCTTCCAGTGGATGTCCATGCAAAAAGATGTTCGCTATTACGTCAAGGCATGTTCTGTCTGTTTCCATTCCAAAGAACCTCCTGCTTATCCTGTTGGTTGACTTCATTGTCAAGTTACCTGCTTTTCGTGGATATGCCTCTATAATGGTGGTAGTCGACAGGGTAACCAAGATGACCTACTTCTTTGCAGCCAAAGGAACACCCACAGCCAAACAAACAGCACAACTATTTCATAGACATGTACCAGAATCTATCTTGTCTGATAGAGGATCTCAGTTTACATCAAAATTTTGGAAGTCATTCTGCAGTCTCCTTGAAATCCAGATACGTCTGCCCACTGTTTTCCACCCACAGTCGAACGGTCAAACAGAAAAGACTAATCAAACACTAGAACAATACATAAGATAAGGTGGTAGAGGTTAACACAGTGAGGGAGTGTAAGCATGCGTGGGATAGGCATAAGGCTATTCTAGACTTAAGATAAGGCCAGGGACTAATTAAAAGTATTTTGAAAATTGGGAAGACTAGATGGGCCAAATGGTTCTTATCTGCCGTCACATTCTATGTTTCTATGTAAGATGTTACACTACTTACTTGCAAAATTACTGGTATGAACTCCTACCCACTGCTGAGCTTGCCTGCAATGAACACTTCCATAGTTTTTATTGTATGTCTAATTTTATAGTGAACTATGGATATAATCCTGTCATGCATCCAGACCAGCCTATCTCATGTCCTCTACCTGATGTTGCACAATTTACCCGTGATCTTCAGAAAGGATTCCAATACGTTTATACTATCCCACAAGAAACCCAACAAAGATACAAAGTCTTTGCCGAGAAGAAGCGCAGACTTCCTCCCATCTATCAAGTAGGTCAGAAGGTGTGATTATCTACTAGACATCGGAGGATGTCCTGTCTTAGCAACAAACTGGGAACTAAATTCATGGGCCTTTATCATGAAGAGGCAGTACTCTCTCCTGTGATGGTACTGTTACAGTTGCCTCCCTCTCTACATATACATCCCATTTTCCATGTGTTTTTGTTGAAACACATGTTCCAGACAGATATCCAACTCAAACTCCTCCTCCTCTGTGTCCCATACAGGTCGATGGTGAAGATGAACATGAGGTGGAAAAGATCCTTGACTCCTGTGCTCACCCTGGCCATCTTTAGTGTCTCATACACTGGAAGGGGTATTGCCCAGAAGAAAGTTTTTGGGAACCTTCCACCAATGTCCATGCTCCTCGATCGGTACATTCCCAGGACAACCTGCTCCACTACACCTCCGTAGGATGGGCCTCAGGATGGGGTATTGTTAGGACTTACCTTCGTCTGAACTCCGATAGATGCTGGGAGGCATGCACGATTGTTCCACTCCGCAGAACAGCTTGGCTTAACAAACAGTCACTCCCCGCGGCAATCCCAGATGATAGTCCACCCCATACAACAATATGGTGTTATGGAGGCTTGTCAAGTAGGTGGACTTTCAATATGGCACAGTAATTAAACCTAGAACAGCTGAGCTTTCATTGGACAGTTGTTCTGTGCTACATCCTGCTGTTACACGTGTTATATGTTTTCGGAATACCTGTTACCTGACCTTGGATTGCCTCACTGTTACCGAACCCTTGCTGCTTGTAATTTGACCCTTGGATTGCCTGACTTTGCCTTGCCATATTGGATTTGTTTGCCTTGGACTTTTTTTTTTATTATTTTGCTAGTACAAGTTCTGCATTTTTAGATTCCATATGTCAAACCCTGACAATGTGGTGTGTGAACAAGGGCATGAACTCCCCCAAACTGGTTCAAAATATCTGTCATGTTCCTAAATGGAAGATATGGCAATGGGTAGATATGGGAAATGACCGAGCTCCAAGAGATTCCTTATTAAACCTTATTTTGGCTCCCAAACCACTACGCCGGACAGAACCACAATTATTCCCCACCACTAAACTATCAATCCAGCAATGGGGCACACTACAAAACAACAGAAGCCAATGCTACTCTAATCCCAGAGCCCCTCTGACAGCCTTGACAGCAATCTCACTGTGTCTGACAATACAAGCATAAATGAAATGCTGCAATAACTTGCATGTCTTTCTTTGGTTTAGAAAATAGATAAATCCCTAATAGACAGGGCATTTCCTCCATTGATGATAAATGCCAAGAAGGCAACATTATACTTTTTCATGAAATACAAAAAAATAAATATATAACTCACCCAACTCTGCTATTTTCCAATACTTACAGTTGACAGGCATCATCTTCACATAAGTGTTGAAGCACCCATTACTCATACACACAAACAGATACTACATGAATAATATATGAATATATATATATATATATATATATATATATATATATATATATATATATATATATATATATATATATATATATATATATAGCAAAAATAGAAAAGTCCTTGCACTCACGCTTGGATGATTTAATAACCGGGTGCTTGTAATCCAGGAAAATTCAAATAAATTCAGATAGTGATCAGCACTCACGGATTTTCAAGAATTAAAATTAACAATTTATTAAGTATCCATTAAAAGATCAACGTTTCAGTCCCAGCATGCCTGATCCTGATGAAAGTCCCTGCTGGGACTGAAACGTTGATCTTTTAATGGATACTTAATAAATTGTTAATTTTAATTCTTGAAAATCTGTGAGTGCTGATCACTATCTGAATTTATATATATATATATATATATATATATATATATATATATATATATATATATATATATATATATATATACTGGCACCTGATAATCCCAAAATACTGTATTTATGCTATAAGTCCATAATGAACTCTGTCCATGAAAAACCATATTCTTTTGAAACACAATGGTCCAAAGAAAACACCCAATTCCCCTCAGGTCCACAAAAAATGTGTATACAAGTGGTACCTAACCACAAACTGACTTCACAAAATGTACCCCAATGTTTCAGCATTTTGCTGTAGATGCAGAATAACAGAGGGAGACATGAATCATATTTGGTGGGAATGCTCCGTGTTCAAACCACTGTGAGATAAAGAACGTGACCTACTTTTAACACTAAAAATCACATATTTACTACCCAATCCATCCACCTGTCTCTTTATCATCTTCCTCCCACTTTCCTTAAAGCCTCAAAACAGCTAGCAATAATAATTATCTTAGCAGCAACCAATATTATATCTACGAATGTATGTCCGTAGCGTTACCTGCACAACTCCAGTCCTTCAATGCAACATGGCAGCACTTAACATACCTCATATCTAGCTCTGACTCGAAACACTCAAAACAAAAACTCTTAGCTCCACTTTTTTCCTTCCCATTGACTACTTACTCCCCATTTCTCCCAGCTATCCCATCCCTCAATTGTCTACTCTCCATATGAAGACCTTGTGAGGCCAACTTGACAAATGCAGATTATCTACACAAAGTATAAAACAGTCTCTCTTTTGTTTGATAAAACTGTTCATACAATAGTCTGTTATCGTTCTTCCCTCATATCCTACTAACTTTTCGTTTTGTACCCTTAAACACCCCAAAAACTTTTCTCTTGTTACAGGCAAAATACTGATATTAACGTAACCACTTTAATAGTCAAAGTACTATTGATTTTGTATGTATGTAAGCATGCTCATGACAACTTACCTTCCCATAGCACAATGTACTGTACCAAACTTGATATTTCTTTTTGACATAAACCTAATAAAAATGTAAATTTTAAAAAAAGTATTTTATCAAAAAATATTAAATCATTTGAAAAACAAATCCAAAAATATTAAATTGAGGTATATATAATATGAGTTTATGCTACATTAATTGTCCTACATATACAGTTCATGGTCCAATCTTTTTTTCTTTCTTTATTTTTTTTTTTTTTAAAGTAGTGCAGAGATTAGTTTGAAATGAATTGTTTTCTTCATGATATTATATGGGCTTACTTATATGATAACAATATTATTTGTCTGTCAGGTTGTTTGCATCACTGTTACGGCCTCTCTCCATCTGTTCTTCATGGCAGCCTTTGCATGGATGTTGGTTGAGGGTCTTTTGTTGTGGAGTAAAGTTGTCGCTGTTAACATGAGTGAAGATCGAAGGATGAGGTTTTATTACATCACTGGATGGGGTGAGTTAATTATTTAATGCATAATCACAAATGATTAATCACTTGAGACAGCAATGTTAAAGACATAATTATTTTGTTTTATTTGCAAAAAAAAATCTCATTTAAAATCTCATTTATAAAGCATGTTTGGTAACCTTTTTTTTCAGAATTTTTACAAAATTATATTATTACAAGATGGACAAGCTATAAGCATTTTTTTTAGTTTGTACAATAGTTTCATGAGATTCCATGGTTATTTAAAGTAGCTCTGTCACCAGATATAATGTTTGTCATATCTGTTTCTTTACAGCTCCCTGTGTTTCTTTCTGATTTCTTTCTGATTGCTCTAGTTTTCAAAGATTTATAAGGAAAAGCATGGGCTACTTGTCCTTAATATAATGTTCCTTTTACCAAATATTGAAAGGAATTTATGTTTTTAGATAAAGTAAATGTAAAGACAGTTAGAAAAACTCATCCTTACCTTTAGTATATTATGGGATCCATCAGTCATATACATGCACCTTGAGTCAGATAGTGTTTGAAAACAAATAGTTATTCTCTGTGGCCTACTTTGCTCCCTGCACAGAAGTAAGGAAGACTATAGAGACTACCTGCCAATTTATAACACTGTATGACCCAAGGTGCATATATGTTAGACTTGGGCATTGAGGAAGATTTTATGTACATTCGAAGGAATTCAAACTAAAATAGATTTGTTTTGTCAGAAACAAATTGTCCATTAGTTGGTTTGTTTCAGATTAAATTAGTCTAATATTTTTGGTTTGGAATTCCTACTCACATGAAGGAAATGCTGCAATCGCTGGCAAATCTTTCTTTGGTTTAGAAAGTAGAGAAGTCCCTAATTTGGTACCCTTATGTGGGATTGCCATATTTAAGGGTATTAATTTAGCTGTATTTAGTAATTAGGTTTATTTTTTGTTATCTTTAAATATGGGAATTCCTTAGAAGGATACCAAATTAGGGAGCTATCTATAGGCAGCTGAAAGAACAAAATTAAGAATTGGAACAAATTGGAAAGAAAATTGACTTTTCTTGTAGTTAATAAAAAAAATTGTAAAAAAATTCTTTCAAAGCCTGAATTATTATATTAAAAAATATTTATGACAATGGTACTTTAATGAAGGTTCTATTTTTATTTGTATTTAATCCAAAAGAAGGAAGAAAAGATAATCAATAAATAAATCCCTTCCCCTTCCGCGCTGCCATTTGCTTCTTTTTTGCCTTTTCTCTCTCTATTTTTTTACTTCTATATTTTTGTGTGCATGTGAATAACAGACATCTTACAAAGCTCCAACAGCATTGGTAAGACAGCTAACTGGACAAAGCATAACAGTTAGAAAGGCATTCAAGTATACTGTACCATTTTTCAATGTAGTGTAGGGTACAGGCTAGGCTGAACATGTCTAGGGTAAATATTGAGAGAGAGATGCTGAGCTATGCTAAGTCATTGACATATTGACAGGGGTACTCTATATTTTCTTATCTGTCTTTTTCTTTCCAACACACATCTCATATTTGTTGGTAATGTTTTTTTAAATACCAAGCCTTGAGTAAAAGAAGTATTCATCTTATTGTTTTAAGAGTTTGTATGAAACATTATTGACATCTCAATGTGTATCAGGTTTATTTACTAAAGTGAGAATTCAGAGTGAATTCAAAAGTAATTTCAAATTTCAGGCTTATGTAGCCGAACTGGAAGCATAGCTTGTTTCAATTTGGCTATTTTGGCCTTGAATTTAGAATTCACGTTGAATTCACGTTGAATTTTCACTTTAAGGAATACATCTGTATGTGCTACTGTGCATATTAGACGTTAACGGATGCTTTCAATGGTTGTGAGTAAATGGTTGAGAATAAACAAAACCCTTTATTTTTCCTTTAAAAAGTTAAATTTATATTACAATGGACAGTAGGCTGAGAGGCAAATATATTTTGTAAGTGAGAATGTGTAAAAAAAAAAAAAAAAAGAAAATGTTCAACTCGAAACAAAATTCTAAGTTCAGATACGTTCAGACTGATAGTTATATAGCTGAAAAGAGACATCTAGTTCAGTCTTTCTCACATCTGTTTTTGCTGTTGATCCAAAAGAAGGGAAAAATTCAGTTTGAAGCTCTTCCAATTTTGCAACAAACTAGGAAAAAAATCCTTCTTGACTCAAAAGTGGCAGTCCATCTCCTTGGATCAAGAAGGTATTGCTCCACTAATTAAAAATGATATCGCTGAATATTCTATTTTTGGAAGTATTTATTCAATTGCTTTTTCAACATCTGTATAGACTTCAAAAAACAACCTACCTCTTCAGACAGAGAATGCCACATCCTTATTGTTCTTAGTGTAGAAAACCTATTCATTTGCCTTATATGTATAGTACTGTTTATTTAATAGATTTCCATACAATGGTTTGTAATGGCCACAAATATATTTAATTTTTTTTTCTAAAATGTTTCCCTATATCTGCCTACATAGATGTAAGCAGTAAGTGTTCAACTGATGATTTCTCAGAGATCGCACATAAGTTTCATCCTGACTCAAGACTCTTTGTTAAATTTATGCAGAGTCTTGAAAATGAATTAAATATAATATTTAGCAAATTAGAAACAGATATGGGCCCCATGAGTAGATAACAGAATATTAACATGAAGGATTGTAATCCAGTAGTGGTTATGGTTCCTCGAGTGTTCCTTTAAGCCATTTCATCATGCACATGAGCAAGAGAGGGTTAGCTAATATTTGACATCAAGTAGTCCAATCCGGCTCCAAACCAGGACATCATCCCACCATATTCTTTCTTAAATGTATGCTATAATTTATTTTACTAATATGGCAAAAACTAAAAGACAAGACTTCATACTAGAAGGATATATTTTAGTATTGTGCGGTGAGGCATTCGCCCACAATCCTTACTATACTAGTAACCCAGAGGATGGTCCAGCCCCCCCCCCCCATTTATTGAATATGATGTAACATTGCAGCTGTTGGTTATGTTCTCTCTTTATTTTAGGACTTCCAATTGTAATTGTCAGTGTGACTTTGGCAACGTCTTTCAATAAGTATGTGGCAGACACTCATTGCTGGCTGAATGTGCAGACTGATATAATCTGGGCATTTGTGGGACCTGTTCTCTTCATACTTACGGTATGTATTAGAATTTAACAACTGTGTGCCAGTTATTATTTTTTTTTTCTAATAGAATAAATCTGCAGAAACTTACAAAATAAAAGGTTAATTTTGTATGTATAGCCTTGGTTCAAAAAGGTTTATTAAGACTAACTTTCAATAATTCCAGTCATTAGCTCCTAACTGCAAGTGTGAATAGCGTTTTTTCACCTTTTCAGGTTATAGATGGATAGTTTTCTTTGAATATTCAAAGGTTTTATTTTCCTTTAAAAATGAATTATAGCTTGTCATAAAATCATCATAGAAACAATATAGCATCTTCCTTGACAAAATGAGCCATGTGAGACTGCTTCCTTTTCTGCCTTTACATACCTAGAGCTTTTTTACCTTGCTGTTATATCTCAGCTTTAATATACGGTGAAGCTCAAAACCTTTAAGGGTCTTTGTTTTCCCTCCCACGCTTCCTTGAGTATCTCTCATGATATAGCTTCTTTAATCATTTTTCTCTGCAAATGCTACAAGGTCATTGTCAGTAGGTTAACACTCAACCATAAAGTAAGATTATAAGTCTTGCTTCAGGACAAATGGCATTTTCTTCATTATAGATAAAAAAATAAATTTCATTGTGTAAGCTTAAAATGTGACAAATTAAATGTAGGTTAGAACAAGACATAAAAAAATATTTGTATTTATAATCAAATTATCTAATGCTCCATGAAATACAGACTAATGGTATATCATAGTAAATATGGACTGCCTTCATGCATTCTATTCCAAATTCAAGATAATATGTTGGGAAAGACATATGTAACCTCGATTGCCTTGCAAACTCAGTTCATGTGGGCCCAAAGTCAGGGGCATTTTAGGCGCGAGGCAAACAAGGCATTTGCCTTGTGCGGCATTTGCCTTGGGCGGCATTTTTCAGGGGGCGGCAAAAAACGCCGCCCCCCAAATGCCCAGGCAAATGCCTTGTTAGCCTCGCGGCTAAGTGACATGCCGGGCGCTGGGCTGGCGGGTGGCGCTGGGCAGCCGGCCGGCCGGCGAGGGAGCTCTTCCCCTGAGGGGTCTGCTCCGCTCCCTCGCACGCCGCCCGCAGAGTGAGGCTGGGAGCCGGAATATGACGTCATCTTCCGGCTCCCAGCCTCACTTTGCGGCGCGCGAGGGAGCTGAGCAGACCGCTCAGTGGAAGAGCTCCCTCGCCGGCAAGCCGGCCGCCCAGCGCCGCCCAGCAACCACTGGACCACCAGGGAGGTAATGAACCCCTCCCCCCAGCACTCCCAAAGGTAAGGTGTGTGTGTGTTTTGTTAGTGTGTGTGTCTGACTGTGTCTGTTAGTGTGTATGTGTGTGTCTGACTTTGTGTCAGTGAGTGTGTGTGTGTCTGTGAGTGTGTGTGTGTCTGTGAGTGTGTGTGTGTGTCTGTGAGTGTGTGTGTGTGAGTGTGTGTGTGTGTCTGTGAGTGTGTAAATGTGTGTGTGTGTGTGTGTGTGTGTCTGTGAGTGTGTGTGTCTGACTGTGTCTGACTGTGTGTCAGTGAGTGTGTGTGAGTGTGTTTGCCTGTGAGTGTGTGTCTGTTAGTGAGTGTGTGTGTCTGTTAGCGAGTGTATGCGTATCTGTCAGTGAATGTATGTGTGTGTGTATTTAGAAGGCGGGTTGGGGGCGGCGCCTGAGTTTTGTCCTGCCTAGGGCAGCACAAAACCAGGATACACCACTGCCCAAAGTAATCCACTTTGTACCAACATTTTTCTCAATGTTTCAGTGTTACCCCTGCCCCCCCCCAAAAAAAAAACAGCTTCCAAAACTTGCACACACTAAAATTGATTAAAAACATTGCATTGCAAACTCAGTTCATGTGGGCCCAATGTAATCCATTGGGTCAACTTTGGTCTAAAAGATTCTGTTCACTTTGTACCCACATTTTTCTCAATGTTTCAGTGTTACCCCTGTCCTCCCACCCCCCTCAAAAAACAGCTTCCAAAATTTGCACACTCTAAAAATGAATAAAACATTGCCTTGCAATCTCATTTCACGTGGTCCCACAGTAATCCATTGGGTCAACTTCGGTCCAAAAGATTCTGTTCAATTTGTACCAACATTTTTCTCAATATTTCAGTGTTACCTCCAGCCCCCAAAAACAGCTTCCAAAACTTGCACACACTAAAATTGATTAAAAAACAAGCCTTCTTTGTACAGTCCCCTGTATCCTAGCAACAGTGGAAGAAAAATTACAATAGCCTAATACATACTATTGGCACTTTGGACCTGATGTTACCAGCTATTCTACAAGAAGAAGGGTTAAGATGTTTATCACATGAAAACATCAAAGGACTGGTCATTTATTGCTTGAGTGAGTAAATATCTGATCCAACATGCAATCGTAATGAGGTCTGACATAAGAGATAAGAAGGGGCCCTGGTGGAGTATGCAGAGCAGTCGTGCTATCAATTTAGTGGCGGAAAATATGGCTAAAAAAAAAATGATGAGGATTTGGTCTTCGTAATAGCAAATCTGACTCCGTCTGGCATGAAAGCTATGGAGTGAAAGGCTTAAATACCAGAAACTCTACAGAAAGACACTAGAGAAAGGAGAAGGGCCAGTTTAGCAGAAAGCTGGTGTAGAAATAAGGCTTCGTTAGAAGGTCAAGACTCCTAAAATGAACTCGAGAGACATCACAGAAATTAGAATAGCTGGGGGTAGGAGGTCTCGCCAACCATATGCCACATAAAAGTCTACAAACGGAAGGGTGTTGTCCTATTGGCGAATTATCAATAGTATCATGAGCTGCAGAGATGGTGGATCAAAATACATTTATTGATCAATAAGATTTGCCTTGATCAAAGAGAGAGGATAAGCAGTTCAATAAGAATGTAAGACATGCTGAAAAGGGATCAATATCCCTTTCCAGACACCAGCTGACCCAAATTCGCCATGCAGAAAGGTAAGTTTGTCTAGTTCCTGGGGCCCATGAATCCTTTCATAGGAGTGTTTGAGCTGTGAGCAAAAGTCCCACAACTTGCCAGGATTCCCTGAAACAGTCCTTGCTACGGGGTGAAGATGGCCCTGCAGGACGAGTGGGTGGCAGTTGCCTACACGATGACTGAGGATATGGAGGGATCGAGGCAACAGAAGGTTATAATCCACAGATAGTTCCAGCAGAGTGAGGAACCAGGTCTAAGATCTCCATAATGGAGTTATTATCACTATTTTGACATTCTGAGCTCTGACCAGGTGAAGGGTTCATTGGATCATTGAGAAGGATGGGAATGCATATGCTCCCCTTGCTGGCCATAGCTGCAGTAACACATCGACCACCAAGAACAGGGGGTCTGGATGCCAGCTGAAGAAGGCATCCGTTTGGCGATTCAGTTGGGATGAGAAGAGATCAAATTTGAGAGGTCCTCGTAGGAGGTAAATGTGAATTACCTCGAGAAAATGATGTGTAGTGCCCGTACAAAAGGCACTTTGGTTGAAAACTCAGAACAAGTTGCTCTGCATCCCAAGAGGCTGGTACCTGACCCCAAAATGAAGTCTGGTTGTAATCTGAAGATCGCTTTCCCGTTCCAGGCTTCCATATTGTGAAGCCACCAATGCAGTTCTATACGGACCTCGTCCGTCACGGATCTGAATTGGTCGTAAGAAGTGGAGCAATGCAAGTAAAAAATTTTAATCGTTGCATGGCTTGGTAATGCAAAGGTCACGAAAACATAGCCTGGATGGAAGCAGAGAGAAGTCCTATAATGTGTATGTAAAGTCGTGTAGACAAAGTCATTGAGTGGACAGCAATTTCCAAATTTCTCTCTTTATAGTTTTTATTTTGGAGTAAGGCAGTTGTAGAATTGCCTGTATAGAGTCTATCTGAACCACCTGAGAAGGTTCCAGATCCGATTTCTGCAACTTTATAACAAACAATAGGTTTTGCAGTAAAGCAGAAGTCAAGTTCGTGTGATGTGGGTCCTGATTCATTATCAGGATGTCATCCAGAAATATAATAGAACCGGAGTAACGCCATAACCGGTTTCATCAATTTGGTGAAGCACTATGATGCAAAGGCTGAAAGGAATGCAGATGAACTGCCACATTTCTCCTTGCCATAGGAATTGAAGGAAAGCACGTTGGCTTTGGGCGACTGGGACTGTGAGGTATGCGTCTTTGTGGTTGAATCTGGAGAGCCAGTCTCCCAAACAAAGGAGGCCTTCCATCTTGAAATTATGGTACCTGACATATTGATTCAGGTTCTTCAGATTGATAATTGGGCAATGATCCTGTCTTTTTGCGTATAAGGAATATGTTGCTGAGAAAAGTACGGGGAAAAGGCAACCATTCGATTGCCCCTTTCTCCATGAATTTGCATAACTTTGCATAAAGAGGTTATGTTGTCTCCCTTTGACATCCATAATAATAATTATAGATAACAATAATTAATACTTATAGAGAAAGTAGTTTCCACTGTTGGAAAAAAATGGGTTAGTCAATTTGCAGTAGGTACATTGAAATAAGTAAGGTCTATTACCTGAAGCAGTGCAACCGTTTAGGGAAGCAAAACTATGTCATTGAACAGATCATCTGTTGTTAAAGAATTGGCGATAATAGGATTGGATGAGTCCTGCAACCCAGTAGTCTGTGGAGAATACCGAGACATGCTTAAAGAAGTCTCTGATAAAAGTGTCACCGAATAATAGGCCGTTGGCTTCTAGTCCCAATTCTTTGGAACTTAAACCAACCAATTTGGCATCAATTTTGTAAAGTGCCACTTTACGCCTTTCAGTTGGGATTGCCACATTGACATTACCTAGAAGGCATAATGTTATGAGCCCAATCCCTCACAGTATGCAGATCAAACTCTACACTAGTGAGTGCTCATCTGCTAGGTGTTTGTCTTGGGTTGCTTTTAAGCCTTGTTCAATACCCTTGCGTGCCAGATTTTGTGAGAAAAATAACCAGCATAGGATCAAATTCTGGTGTTAAAGTTACTTCATCTGAGATAGTTGGCCGGAGGCATTCGGCCTTCAATTTAGCTCTAATTTCCTTCTCTAAGGACTTGCACAGCCACATTTTACAGAAATTAGCAATGTGATCTGGAGAAGCCCATTCGGCAGAGCGTGGATGCCAAATTATCCTAGCGTCAAAGAGTGGGAGACCAGAAGCAGGATGTCTGAAGAAGGCTCCTTGGAATTTTTTGTAATAAAGGTCTCCTTTATTACTGATGTTTAGAAATCTTTAAGCACATTTGCCGGA